ACCTGGAGGGAGAGGGTGCATATGGGTTTGCATTATTAATATGAACAAGAAGTTGTTAAAGTCCAGTTGCATTTCCTGGTCTTTCACTTAGAGCTCTTTCACGTAATTTGGGATAGCCACTTGAAATTCTGGAGTGTAGAACTGATTAGCTCTCTCTAAGTGGGAATGACAACACGGATGACAACCATTTAGTGAGCACTTACTGTGTGTCAGGCACTGCTCTGAGGGCTAGGCTTGTTTTAGCTCACTTAAACCTCATGACTATGAGGGAGTTGCTGTTATTATCCCCATTTGACAGGTGAGGAAGTCGAGGCACAGAGGGGTTAAGAAATTGGCCCATGGTCACGCAGCTGGCAAATGTGGAGTCTAGTTTTGAACTCAAAATACAGAACAAAGGCTTTACTGCCTAGTTCAGCTTAGGAAAAAAAAAAGCAGAAATGCTATCTTCATCTTAATGTTACTTTCCCCGTTATTAATTAGCACCTATCCTATCCTGAAAAAATGAAAGCATTTCCCTGATACGTGATGTGCCCTTAGCCCCTTGACTGTACCATGGAAGCAAGCTCCTTCATGTTTATTAGTGAATGTCGTTAAAAGTCCAAGAATTAATTTCTCCCTTTTTTCTAGTCAATTAAAGCATTTTTCATAACAAATGGCATGTATATGGAGTGAGAAAGACTTGGTTATAAATCCAAACTCCATCACTAGAGTAATCTGCATTCATCTCTTTCAGCCTTAAATCTCAGGCTATTCTTCTATAAAATGATTTTAATAATATCAATTTTGAGGGATTATAGTTAGGATTAAAAGCTTTGCACCAAGCAGACCCTTCATGGATGTCCCTCTTTTCCCTTCCACATTTAGGGAGTTAGTATACTGATGCTCTTGCATGTATTCTTGAGTTAGTGGAGAATATTCCTCTGTGAGGTGCTGGCTTCCTGTAGGAAACACCTGTAATAGTAATAGCTAATGCTGAAAGCACATACTTTACATGTCAGGCCCTGTTCTAGGCTCATCACAAGAATGAACTCATCTAATCTTATGAGACGGTGCTATAGCTAGTGTTATCTCCCTTACTAGGTTAAGGCCACGTAGCCAGTAAGTGGTTTAGCTGGAATTAAAAACCTAGTCCACCAGTAAAAATCCTGATGTCTGGCTCCTACCCCCAGACAGTCTGCATCCATAGGGGATTTGGTCTGGGCACCCGAATTTTGAACTCCTAGGTGTTCCTAACTGTGCCACTCAGTTTGGAACCACTGCCAGGTTTCGTGTTCCCAGTCCTGCCTGCATTACCGAGACGTCCCTGGGGACAAAGCAGGGAGGCCAGGCTGGCTGAGGACAAGGGTACGGTTGAAAAGAAGAAATGTGGGTGGAGGAAAACGTAGGAGGGAGAGATTTAGGCAAGGGCAAGTTTGCCCTGTGTGACTTGATACATTGCTGGCGACAGTGTCTTTTTCCTGTGACCAGGTGTCCCTGCTTGGGCCTGGGACAGCAGTAGCTGGGTTTGCTTTGCCAGAGCCAGGAGGGGCTTAATCAGGCTTGTCAAGAGGAACTGCTCGCTTGTAGTGACACCCCATTCAGGCCTCCCAACAATGTCTGTCATCCTGAGAGAATGAAAATGAAGCAGGCAACCCAAGCAAAAGTAAACACCTGTGCTAGG